AGAAAGTATAAGACTATTAAACTTAACTAAGAATAATACCTTATAAGTATACTTAATAAACTCGGAATTACTTAGGAAACTTTTAAGCTAAAGAGAACTCTTACTACTAGATATAAATACTTTTACTCTACTAATAATAATAATAAACGGATTAATATTACTAAGTACTAATATACTATTAGAAGCTTAATATATATAATAATCTTCATATAACTTAATATCGCTTTTATCCTCGGAAAACTTAGCTAATTTATAAGCGACTTAGCTAAGTACTATAGATATACCTTAAAATTACTACTTAAGTACTTAAAGTTAACTATTAAGACACGGATCTAATATAGACTAAGGAGAGAGTATAATATTATTATACTCTACTTTAATATAGATTAAGTAAGTAATAAAGTTAATAAGAAAAGTACTTTAGGAAATATAATTATATTCTATAGTAGCTTAATATCTTAATCGAGTAAGAAATAACAATTAGTTACTATATTAAGCTATAAATCTAAGTATATAGCACTTATAAACTACGCTAAGTATAGTTAATAGTTTACTTAAGTTTTCCGTGACTTAAGTTACTCTAAGCTTATTAGAAGAAACTTAGAGTTAGTATAGATACTTAGAGATAACTAAGAAGTTATTATACTAATAAAGAATACTTACTTAAACGAATAGTCTAAGTATATCAATATTATATACTATTATATCTATAATCTCGCAGAATAAAAGAAGTTAAAGATTAATTATATCCTTATAGCTAAAATAGTTACTAATAGTATAATAAAACTACTAGAATAAGTTATATTTAAATAGTTTAAAAGTTAGATAGGATTAGCTAAGGAAGTTACTGGAGTTAAGCGCGCTAAAAAGGACTTATAATCTAAGATTAAGTATTAAGGAGGACTTATAATAAGTATAATCTACCTTAAGGGAAAGTATTAGAATATAAAGGGATTTAGGCTAGATATTATATATACTACTAAGCTGAAGATAGCTTAGTTAGAGGCACTTAACCTTTTATATATTATAGCTTCTTCTATAGATAGTTCTATATAGCTCTATAGATATACTTCCTAGAGGTAAAAACTTATAATAAAGCAGAGGAGTTAACTATAATTAATTCTATTATCTAATATAAATAGTCTTACCTACTATTATCTAGTCTTTCTTACTTAGCTCTATAAATATACTATATAGTAGGCTATACCTTTCAAGAGAAACACTATAAAAGTCGGATCTATTATACTCTTACTTTCAGGGGATAAGCTTACCTCTTAGTATATTCTAACGTTTCCTTAGGTATTTACATTATATATAAAAGTTACGTTTAAGTAGCTTTCTTTAAAAATATAATATCAGAAAGTTTAGATTAAAGAACCTCTTACTCTTTAACTTATAATATAATTAAGTAAGCTATAGCTTTTAGAAGTAGCTTAGGAGCCTTTAATATAACTCTACTCTAAATTATAAGTGATTTAATAACCGCTAAACCTTCGTATAAAGTATATATAACCTATAAGTGTTAATATAAGTTATATCGATTAACTAATAGAATAAAGGCTACTAATTCCGGTATATAGTACGATAGGATTTATATAATTCCCGGAATTAATTAGCTAAATTAACTCCTCTTATATAATAGTTATAATTATTAATAAAGCGCGGAATAAGCAGCTCTTTTATATAATCTCCTCTAAAGACTTATCTAACGATTCAGCTATTAGTTAATATTTTTACTAGCCTCCTTCGTAATTTTACTTAAAAGTTATCCGCTTAATGAACTATATAGATATTACTAAGAGCTAGAATAATATTATTATCTTACTAAGCTAAATATAATATATTTCATACTACTTTTATAAATAAAGTATTCTATAATAAAGTAAGCTTTTAAGATAGAAAAGTTAGTAGGTAAAAGTACGTATAAACATATAGTACTAATAGCTCTATAGCTATAGTTCTGAAGTTCCTTAAATAGAGGTATAGATATAAAGTAATTATTAAGATAGACTATAAGGCGTTTATATAGTAGAAAAAGGACTAAAGATCTTATAAGGTAACCTATAGAAATAAGGTCTAGATATTTAAAAAGAGCTTATAACTTATACGCGCGAGAGCTCTAAATCTAGTTATATATATACTTATAGTCTGTAATTCTGAATATTTTATACCCTTACTTAATTAGTTTAGCTAGTATCTTATAAGTATATAATAATCTAATATAAATTAGAAGAGATTAAGTAATTAATAGAAAGAGAAGTACTTACCTTCTAAAACAGCGTACTATAAGCTTATTAATACTTATTTTAGTAGAAGAAAAGTAATATTATTAGTAAGACGCCTGAATCTCTAAAGCTAAAAGTTCTAGCTTATACTATTATATCTTATTTAAAGGTAAGTAGTAGTCTTAACGTTTATTATTATCTATACTAAAGATATAATAATACCTCTTAATATCTTTATATCGATTAAGTGTAATATATACTGAAATTAAATATATTAGATCTCTCTTTCTATTTGTATTCTAGTATATATTAATATAAGGCTCGTTATAGACTCTTATATATATAATTACCCTAAGAAATATATATATCTCTTCTAGAACTATATCTTATTATACTTAAGCTCTTTCTTATTTAACTTATATTCGTTAAAGGTTTATATATCGATTTATATTAGTTATAATAACTCGTAGAAGAGAAAGTATAAAGAATAAGGTAAAGTAGTTAAATAGGTATATAAAAGGACGGAATTTAAGTAATAAAATCACTATAGTAAGCTATAGTAGTTTATACTTAAAAAGTTCAAAGGAAACGCTTATAATTAGTCTAAATTCTTTTATTATATCTTTAAGAATCGAGTTCTTTACTTTCTTTTATAGTAAGAGTTTATCTAAACCTTCGGAATCACTAGAATTACTCTTAAGAAAGTACTTTATTTTTATAACACGTTCTAAGAATATAAATTAATAGAGTTAACGTATTGATTTATTCCCGCGATATCTTTTATTATATAAATTATATATAAGAATATATAAAATAATACGTTCAGCTGCCTCTATACACCGGGCTGCACCACCCCTGCTAGCGTGTTAATATCTCAGCGGACGAAGGGATAGCATGGCAGCAGTGAAAATGAAACCCAAATAACCCTCTGACAACTTGGGATCGAGCAGTGCTCGCTATACGGGAAGCCAAATGAATCACTTGTGCGGAACGTCTACTTTGATGTTTCCGAATAATCTTTTTATTAATTCTGTCTTAATCTTCACTTTGATTAGGTACTATGTATTTACTAAAAAAGCACTATTATCTAATAGATTTCCTACTACTATAATTACTATAATTAATTAGATATATAATTAATAATAAAGTGATATAGGTAAGTAAGTAAAGTAATGAATATCTAGGCAGCTTAAAGCAGCTCAGCTAGTTCTAGCCCTTATAAAATTTATATTTTTAACCCCTCTTCTCTGCTATAAAGTTGCCTTTAATTTTAATTTTAAGTATAGTAAAAAATTAATTGTATTTTAGATATTACTTTTACTACTTAGAATTATTATTATAAGACTTAAAGGTAGGGAAATAAATAGGTTAAAATATAATATAGGACGTTCCGCACAAGTGATTCATTTGGCTTCCCGTATCGCCAGCTGCCTTAGGTACAATAAGTAAATTTACTTTAAGGGCTGCTCCAGTCCTCGAGTAGGTTCCTAGGTAGGTAAGTATTAATTTCACGTTACAGTAACCTTATATACACATTCATACTCATACTCATACTCATACCTCGGAAGGAATAACTATTTGCTTGACTATGGCTCTGTGGCACAGTGGCACAGTGGCACAGTGGCACAGTCGAAAGCGTAAATGTATGTCATCGAAACCTACCTAGGCTGCTAGGGTATTGTAAATTTACTATACTGTAGCTTCGCTTCGCTTCGCTTCGTCAGATTGGGTACGAAAGGTACAATACCTTCCTGCCTGCCTAGCAGCCTAGGTAATACAAGTACAATAAGATACGTGGCCATACCTGCCTACGGTAAGTACTCTGTACCAGGCGAGCCAGGGAGCCAGGGAGCCTACCCAAGGTAAATTCCCTACTGTAGGAGGTGGTTACTTCGTTACCTCGGTAGGTGCCTGGTGCCTGTGCCTAAGGTACAGTACTTGTTTGTACTTATACTCGTAAATTTACAGCACAAGCACAGTAGCCCAGCCGCAGCCCCGCCAAATCCCCGCCAATTCCCCCGCCACTCATACTTCTACCTGCAGCTACCTTACCTATCCTGCTATCTACACTAGGTAACGAGGTACGGTAGGTGCAGTAGGTACAGTAGGTACAGTAGGTACAGTAGGTACAGTAGGTACAGTAGGTACAGTAGGTACAGTAGGTACAGTAGGTACAGTAGGTACAGCACTCGTAGCGGGAGCAGGTAACCTTTCCAGTAGGGTAACTTAGGTAGTAGGTACCTCTATGGTTTGCCGTACTCGTACTGTCCAGCATTGCACATGCGTGCCATTCGAGCTTCCTTACCTTACCTCCCGAGCCTCCCTACGAGTACAATACGTCCTCTGGAGCTGGGCAGAGGCAAAACCACCCCGCTCCCCATCTGCCTGCTTCCCTCCTCCCTTTCTCTTCCTCTTCGAGACCGCAACTCAACTGGCGATACTCGACGAGCTGGCACTTGTCAATAGAATAGTCTACGCCAGAGTGCCGCGAACTCAGTCAGACTCGTCAAGTCCGGGAACAACAGCCAAACGTTCCTTACCTACCGTACCTTAGGTACCCTGAGTACTGTACTGGAGGACCATTAACATCACCCCACCCCCACCCCCACGACAAATCATCCGCCGACAAGCATAACTCCTCATTTCAACAGTACAAAAGCCAGGTATACAGTACTGCGCACTCCGGAGCGGCTATTGATGGCAGCACAAGAAGCTTACAGCTGTAGGAAACCCTCCTCATCACGAAAGATAGGTCTTCCTCGTCAGCCCGCCTCAATGCCTTCCACACCCGCGAAAGAGGGTGGAAGCACTCCAGATGCTATTGTCCCCTCGTCGATTATTGCTTGCGCAGAAGCTGCGATCATCGGAAACTTCGAGGACGACGAACCAGAGGCGATTTCGAGACAAGCTTCGAGGATCCACAGGCCACACTTCTCCAGATCCAACACAAATGCCAGTACTCGAAGCGTTCGGACACAAAAAGGTGCAAAGTGAGTAGGCGGCGCAGTGCTGTTGTATATAATGTAGTGTAGATGCTAACAAGTTTGTACTCTCACAGATCCAACAACCTCCAGGTCCCGAATATATTATCAACAGATGGCTCGACTGAGGCACCCCCTGCATATGGCGAGAAGCACGACCAGATAGAGCTCAGTCAGGATGGATTCGATACGAAGGCCAAAGTTACAGAAGATGGTCGGATCAACATCAACATCAACCAAAAGACAAGAAAGCTTTCGGACCTTCTCGTTCCAGCGTTGAGAAATCAGCTGTCTTTGGTCGCACAAGAGAAAGAGCACCCACTTCCTCCCGGCTATATTCCACCTGCGCTTGGAGGATTACCAGGTCAAACACCCCCTCCAAAGCTCAATGTAGTAATCCACGTTGTCGGATCAAGAGGAGATGTACAGCCATTTGTGGCTTTGGGCAAAACTCTGAAGGCTACGTATGGTCACCGTGTTCGACTTGCAACGCATCCTACCTTCAAGCCTTTTGTTGAAGAGAATGGACTGGAATTTTTCAGCATTGGAGGAGATCCTTCCGAGCTCATGGCTTTTATGGTAAAGAATCCGGGCCTGATGCCAGGATTTGACTCTCTGAAAAGTGGCGACGTTGGCAAGCGGAGGAAAGGGATGGAAGAAATTGTTTTGGGTTGCTGGAGATCCTGTATTGAGGCTGGTGACGGGCTTGGAGCTCCACCAAGCACTTCAAGTACTGATGAGCTAGGATTTGACGCCGGCATCAGTATGGACACTAATCCCGCCGATCGACCATTCATCGCAGATGCAATTATTGCCAACCCACCCAGCTTTGCGCACATACACATTGCAGAGAAAATGGGAATTCCACTTCACATGATGTTCACGTATGTTACCGCCTCTGTTATATCTGAAAGCATTGCTGATTTTCACCCAGAATGCCCTGGTCGCCCACACAACAGTTTCCTCATCCCCTTGCCAATATTCAATCCTCTAATGCCGATGTAAACATGACAAATTTTGTCTCGTATGCTTTAGTAGAAATGATGACATGGCAAGGGCTTGGAGATGTTATCAACCGCTTCCGTGAACGAGCTCTAGGTTTAGAGCCTATCTCTCTGATCTGGGCTCCTGGAATGTTGAGCCGCCTTCGTGTGCCATACACGTATTGCTGGTATGTATCTATGCAGCTCCTACACTCATTCAGCGCTGACAAGTTTAGGTCCCCAGCCCTTATTCCTAAGCCCAAGGATTGGGGTCAACATATCTCCATATCTGGATTCTATTTCTTGTCATTAGCTTCGTCGTATACGCCAGATCCAGAACTTGCTGCATACCTTACTGCTGGACCACCACCAGTCTATATTGGCTTTGGCTCCATTGTTGTGGATGACCCAGATGCAATGACTAAGCTCATATTTGAGGCAATCAAGAAAGCTGGCGTCAGGGCTCTTGTATCCAAGGGCTGGGGAGGTCTAGGAGCTGATGACTTAGGAATACCTGAAGGTGTTTTCATGCTCGGAAATGTTCCCCACGATTGGCTATTTCAACACGTAACGGCTGTAGTACATCATGGTGGCGCCGGGACTACTGCTGCGGGCATTGCCACTGGTAAGCCAACAGTTGTGGTGCCCTTCTTTGGTGATCAACCATTTTGGGGAGCCATGGTTGCACGAGCCGGAGCCGGTCCAGTTCCTATTCCATACAAGCAGCTTACAGCCGATAAATTGGCTGCTGCCCTCACTGAAGCTCTCAAACCAGAGACCTTGGAGAGAGCCCAAGAACTTGGGTCCAAAATCAAGGAAGAGAAGGGCGATGAGACTGGTGCCAAGAGCTTTCACGATATGCTTGATGTTGACCACCTAAGGTGCTCTCTTGCTCCTAGCAGAGTAGCTGTCTGGCGTGTGAAGCGAACACAAACCCGCCTTAGTGCGTTGGCTGCTCATGTCCTTTCTAGCGAGGGTCTCCTGGACTTTGGTGACCTCAAATTGTAAGATGTCTGGATCTCCGACCACGTTGAGTATTGACAATCTTAGATACCGCCCACGAGAGTATGAGACTGAGGAAGGACCGTGGGATCCAATTTCAGGAGGTGCATCAGCATTACTTGGTACCATTGCCAGCCTCGGCATGGGCGTTGCAGATTTTCCAATCGAGATATTCAGAGCGGTCAAAAAAACAAACACCAAGCGGGCCGAGACGATGAGTGCAACCAGTACAAAGTCAGCAGAGAAGCCTAGCTCCAGTGAAGATACACCGGTGGCTTCTAATTCGGCCTCTGCATCGACTTCTCGAACGGATCTAAGCCTTGAGAAAACCGTCAGCGATACAGATTCATCATCACGCCATGGGTCTATATCTGCTACTACCCCAAAGACGTCTTACGATACGGGACGATCCTCTACCGAGACACCTGTCGCCGACACTCCCGCGTCCAGCACGACATCGGCGCGTGGGAATTCATTGAAGCAAGCTCTTAGCGGTACCCTCTGTAGATCTGGTTCTAGATCATCCTCAAGAGATCGTGGCTCGTTGTCACGTTCTAACTCAAAGGATCGCCGGCCAGGATCCCGTAGTAGTTCACCATTTGGCCATCGACGCAGACAAACAGAAGAGTTCGATCCAACTAAGCTGACAATTGAAAACGCAACTCGAGCTGGAAAGGGTATTTCTCGTATCGTTGGAGCTGGTCTGAAGTCGCCCATGGACTTCACGCTGGGTATTGCACGTGGTTTTCACAATGCACCAAAGCTGTACGGAGACGATACTGTTCGCCCCCAAGAGAAAGTCACGGACTTTCAAAGTGGCCTCAAAGCTGCAGGCAAGGCACGTACGGACTCTTTTAACTCATATCAGCATACTGATACCACGTAGGAATTTGGGTATGGCATGTTTGATGGTATCACTGGGCTTGTCACACAGCCTCTTCGGGGTGCGGAGAAGGAAGGAGCCGCAGGTCTCATCAAAGGTATTGGGAAAGGTATTGGAGGATTGGTTCTGAAACCTGGTGCTGGTTAGTACCCTGTGGCTCACCAAGCTATCGTTGCTGATTATGTTCAATTTAGCTATTTGGGGAATTCCTGGATACACATTCATGGGCATTCACAAAGAAGTCAGAAAATTATTCGGATCCAGTGTCTTGAATTACATGATATCCGCAAGAACCGCACAGGGATTCGAGGACGCCCAATCCGCCACGCCCGAAGAAGTGGTTGATATCTTGACTCGATGGCGCGAGCACAAGGACGAGTACCAGAATGAGAAAATGAAAGTCCAAGAGACTGCTCCTGAAGGTCAAGAGTCAGGCCGCCTTACTCCCAAAGGATTCATGCAGACGAGACATCTGTCTTTTGATGAAAGAAAGAAGCTTCACGAAGAGCGTAAGGCGCGGCGTGAAGCAGAGCGCAAGAAGAGCGAAGGAGAGTCTGGCCATCGAAATTGTCCTTTTTGCCGACGTGACACTGCTCACAGCCATAAGCCCCGTGCAGTACAGACGACGCCTATGGTTCGACCCTCAGAGGAGGACCAAAACGCTGAGTTCGAGCATGCAATCCATGCTTCAGTAGCTGCAACATCTCGCGGAAACATCGAAGAAGATGAGATGATTGAACGGGCCATCCGCGCCAGTATTCGCGAGCTTCAGAGCGCAGAAGGGTCGACCCTTACTGACCAAGAGGCACTCGAACGAGCCATCCACGCCAGTATCATGTCTTCTGAAAGGCACGCCACTGACTCAGAGACAGCCGCACATTCTAACCAGCCGATGACAATGACGGGCGAAGAAGCTGAGCACCAGGCTGCCTTGGAGAAGGCCATCCAAGCCAGTCTAGCTCAGTACAAGCTCTCCCAGGAACCCGCAGCTGTTCATGAAATTGACACGGATGACGATGAAAATGTCAAGCTGGCTATTCAGATGTCCAAAGACGTACCACCGATTCCGAGCGACGAAGATAGTACATTGAAATTAGCATTGCAGCAAAGCCACGAGGATTCTGCCAAAGCCAAGGCAAAGACTGAGGAAGAGACCGTGATAGAGTATGTAAAGAAACAAAGTCTCTTAGAGGAGCAACACAGGAACGCCAGGAGAGGGAATCAGAAGGAAGTCCCTCCAATACCGGTCGAGGATGATGAGCCGATGAGCAAGGCGGATGAAGAAGCTTTGCGAAAAGCGATCGAAGAGAGTATGAAGAGTGCTGGGGATGGGCAGGCATCCGGAGTGGCCATCTGAAGGGTTCGAACCGGAGCCGGATAAGAAGCGGGCTTTCCTGTAGATTTGGTTGTGGTATACCCAAGCGTTATGATCATGGTAGATAGAAACAAAGAACGTGATGACACCACCCCCTTTCATTGCGTTCTGTATTCTCCAGTCGGTTGAGAGTCGCTGCAATTCCGCTCGTCATTGTCAACTCTTCCTGTTAGATTTTGGCTGAAGCTTGCATCTTGACGCTGATCTCACCTTGGTCTTCTTGTGTTGACGCTCGGTAGAATCAGACTAGCTCGATCGTCTCAGCCTTATTATCAACAACGAGGCGACAACCAAACTGGCCCCTCTTCCTACCGTGCACATCAATCGTGCTCTCGTACACGAGCCAAGCCGTTTATAGTCCTCCTCGGCAAGACCAGTCTTCTGTACGCACTGTCTCCTAACTCCCAAAGATGCAGACACGCTGATTGCGGTAACTTGTCCCCGGTACTTGTTTCCACCACAGCACCAAGATCGCGTTCCTCAGCCTACATTGACTGAAGACGTAACCAGTTCCGCATTTACCTGCACTCACAACTCCATGTACGCTTTTGCTAATTCAGCTTGTCGTCACATCGCTCGTCAATCTGAACATTGGCATCGTCAACGGCATCAATAAGTGGCTCGTCGACGTCCTCTTTGATACCCTACTGCTTCAAATCAACCTAACCCGTTGCTCGACCACATATCATGTCTCAGTTCAAGCATTGACAATTGAAACGTTTTCAGCAGGCAGTCGTAGCATTACCGAAATCATGGGAGAGTCACGCCCCAAACGCACAGCAGCTGTGAAAGCCGAGTCAGAGAACAAAAGACTCGCACTCGATGCCAGCAAGCCGATGGAAGCTCAGGATCTGCAGACACGGGAAGACGACGAACGCGAGAAAACAGCTCCTCATAGGAGGGCATCGGCCCAACCCGACTATGTACCAAAGAGTACCACTCGCCGTCACCCATTTCATACTGATGGTACAGTCTCGCAGGTCCAGGTCCTGATCCGACAAGCCAGTCCAGGTCAGGCAAAGACTACACCATTACCCTCAAGTTCGACATCGCAGAGTGTTCCAGCCTTCAGCAATTTCCAGCAATCTTCATCCGAATTAGTCACACCAGCTTTGCGTCGACAAGCACGACGTGTTCACTCCACAGGAAATTCCCAGCGGTTGCTTCCTCCCACTTTCAGCAATCCTGGTCCGAAGGTCCAGTGGCCAACTCCCGATGCGGAGATCAAGAGACTTCCACATGTAGAAAGACAAAAAGAAAGTCTGACAATTCCAGCCCAGCTCCCTAGGCTCCTGGATCAGGTTATCAGCTCGAACAGAGACATCCGGCAACAAGCCAGTGCAAGAGCAGCAAACGCAGCAAGTTTCCTCAGCCTCGCGCATCCACAACCTCAAAATACCATCCATCACAGGTTTGAGAAAGCAAGTCCGGCAAATCGTGCTTTTACAAAGACTGTCGAGGGACTTGTGACACCTCGGACTCCTCCCACAGACGCAGATGCTGCGCAGGTCTTGGGAAGGCAGATGACGACGGAGGACATGAGACGGCTGGGTTTGCCTAATATTGAACCTGAGCAGAGACTCCAACAAGCCTACTATGCTCATCACATGGATGTAGCCCAGTGGGCACAAGGAGAACAAGCTCTGCAAGCTCAGTCTAGTCGAACGCCTCACTCATTTCCAAGACCACAGCAACATCCTCCTAACCAATTCCCTGGGCCAATAACCTATTCATCTTCATCTAGGCAGCCTACCAGACTTGCTAACGTGTCTACATATGTTTCTAGTCAAAAGACTGGCGCAACCAGTGGCTTTATCAACCCTTTCGGGGCTGGTTCAGGAGCTGACCCTGGAGTCGCTTCTGACCTTTCAAAGATTGCCAGTGGACCACGAACCAAGCTACACGGGCGTGACGATCACTTTCAAGAATACAAACAGGGGTATTCGACCGAAGAGCGCGAGGATTCGGATGCAACTATATCACCTTCGCCACGCAAGCCCCTTGGGCCAAATAGATATTCTGACGCGACCGTCTCACCATCCCCTCCCAAGAATACCGATCCAGTAAATAATCGTGTTGTCCCTTCAGTACCGCTTTTCCAGCAGGAAGAAGCGTTTTTTGGTACTCCAGTACGTCCTCAAGCTCCAAGTCACGCACGCGTGCTAAATCAAGCACAGTACAAAGCACATCTCCCTCAGGCTGGCCGAATACATACTGATCGGCAGGTTCGAGCACCAATACCTCTTTCCGATAATGAGCCTATAGTCCGTCAACGAAACCTCGACTTCCAACACCAGTCTGCCTCTTATGGAGTGGATCCAACACAATGGTACCAGCAAGAAGAGGAGAACTCCGCTAACTTCGCCCGAGAACTGGAATATGTGAATTATCAACAGGAAGTGGGTTCTAGAGGAGACTTCATTCCCCTAGCAGGAGAGCTGCAACAAAACCTTACTGAGAGACTTTCCCACATCGACGTTGTGGAGTCCAGGTTCCAGACTCGCAACTATGCCTTAGTCACCACGGCAGATCTCACGACTGAAGAAAAGGAAGAGCTCCGACTGTCTAGTACCTTCGCTACGATGTTAAGGACCTTGAGGCGTGCTACGGATAAGGACAAGGTACAAGATGAGGAAAAATGTTCCGGACAGTCCTCGAAGCCATTTTTCGGATGCTTGGCAGTGACACAATTACCGCCTGCAGCCGAGGTTTCACTTCTGTCTCGCTCGCAATCCTCTCATGAGATTATAGCAGAAGATAACGATGATCTCTGCGTCTTCTGTACCTTCGAGACTTGCTTTGGCATTAGTGACTCACGAGTCTGGCTCCCACTAGAAGCATCACCAGGCTATTGCAATGAGTGCCACGAAGATACACAGCAGGTCTTCAGAATGTGGGAAGGACCCTACAGACTACCTCATGGTTTGAATGAAGAAGCTAGGCAGAAGTACAAGAGTCTTATTGAGATATCAACTGCAACACCTCTGAAGGAGCTCGGAGATACTGCGGATTTCAAGTCTCAGCAAAAGGTGGAAATGAGCAAGCCCCAACGACAAAATGCTATTCTTAATGCTTCGAACCCAGGCACGAAAGATAGCATAAGGAAACAACGAGAGCAGAGAAAGGAATACAGTCTGACTAACTCTGCCAGAAATGTCGCGAATGTGCCTCGGGGAGGGAAGCTGCCGCAGAGAAGGGCAGTCAGTGGTGATCTAATCAGACAGAATAACTTCCCTCCGGACGCCCAAAGAGGAGTTTCAAATGGCAATCGAGAACATGAGCAGCTGGGCAGTTCAGCAAGAAACGTAACCCAAATTTCAACACCACTGAGCAGTCATACTGCCACTATCCCCGACCTGCATACAAATCAGGCAGTACAAACAGCATGGGTTAATGGAGCGCCATCAATTGTCCCCCTGATGGAAGGTAAGTTTGCCGTTGGTCATCGAAATGTCGGGGCGAGAAATGACCATGTTGGAGTTGTTACCCCCAATTCGGCATCTTGTAAGGATGTTTTGGACCTCTCAGGTCCTTTTGGATCGATATCCAAATCCTCATCAACCACATCTAAAATTGGAAGCCCGGCGACTGCATTTCCCACATCATGTAATGCCAACATCTCAGGATACCCTAACTCTACTATGTCCGCACAACCCACCGGTGAAAAAAGTCCATCGGGCATCCCACTATACTTCAACGCAGGACCACCTGAATGTTTTCTTGGTCCTCCATCGTTCAGCAGTGCTCCGATTTTCTGCCGCGGCTGTCCGTGGCGTCAAGTTGACTTCACTAAAGCCAAGATCTGCACCGCTTGTCGGGATTGCAAGTTCCTCATCTGCAGCCACACGCACCACTTACACTTCACATTGCTGACTGAACTTGCTGGTGTCATGAATGGCGATCACGAAGGACATGGTTTGGGACGAGTCTCTGGAAGTGGACGAATCACCGCCGATGGTCGGTATGGCAATTGCATGGTTTGTCCTGGCCAGGCGACTCATGGCTGCAATGATTGCCCGTTGAGACTCTGCGCAGAGTGTGTAGTCAGGTTGATGAAGTTGTGTAAGTTCCCTTGTCCCATCATTTGATGTTCTCTTCGCTGTTGTGCTTGGAGGAACATGATTGACGCGAAACAGGCAAGGGCAAGATGAACGAACTTCTGAACTTTTACAATAATGGCCGAGACCACATTCGAAATGACGTACATGAATTTCCCCTTTCCTCTACTGTACTACCCAAGGAACTCGCTGACGTCAACAGTCGTTCTTGCTTCGCAACGACAATAAAGGATTTTAAATATCGCGCACTGCTGATAGCGTGCGTCTTGGGGAGGAAAGGCGTACCCAGCGATGATGTATCATTGGCAAGGACTCGTGAGTTCCATCAATTCACGAAATTAGGTGAGGATTGATTGGAACTTGCATCGGCGGTGAGTTCCTCTGATTGTAGACTCCGTACTCCATTCTAGGAAATCTAAAGAGATCAAAGGCTGATGCAGAACAAATCCCATCAGCACCGTTGATCAGAGAGCTCCCCCATTTCTTGATTTCGCTAGTTTATGTCAAAGACCATTTGTGAATGCGTCTCACGATCAAGTTCCAGATGCTGATCTCTAGCATCGTTAATTGGTTTGGTTAGCTACCCCCACAGAACAAGATCTGAAAAGTAGTTCCAAGGTCAGTTCTCGCTCGTCTATCGAGTCCCTTCCAACTACTCGCTCGGAATGTCTCTGCGGCATTTCTAGCTCAAATGGCCTTTGGCCTTTTCTACAGATCATTGTGATTATTGCTGATCTAACAAGATTGAATAGGGAAAATCCTTTCAAGTGCAATCCGCTTAAGATACATTATGTGCGAGATGACTCCGTTGCCGAGCCAGGAAACAAGGGCGAAAGCAAGTTACAGTAAGCGAGATAAATGAAGGACTGGCTTCACATGCGGATAAGAGACTCTGCCAAGTGCGAACTCTTAAGCTGAATTCCCACGGGATATCTTTCTTACCGCAAGATACCAATAATCCGTCAAAAGATGCTGAACTTTCATTTGAACCCTAATCGAATTTTCCCCATCAAGTTCCGTATTCTGAATCCAACCAGTTCTCGTGATATTCGCCAATTAGGGAATTCATATTCTGCTGATTCGTCTTGGATGGTAGTAACCCTTTAAACGTCAATATAACCACAAGATGGAAGATTGCTTGCTCCGCAGACTTGAGAAGTGGCAGGATCAGTATCACCCTTGTTGCGGATAGGGACGCTGATCTCTGCGAACGATTGCAAAAAAAGGTAAACGGCCAAAAAATATGCCAAAAAAATATGCCATTGTGAGAACGGGAAACAGCATCGGAGAGCGATGAATTTTTCCATTCCAATTTTGAGAGGTTATAAGGGCAATTCCCGACATCTATACACCGTTGTCCGGAAGTGCTCTCGATTTACAAAATTGGAGCTCTAGGATTGCCGGGGCCAAGATCTGAGGCTCGCTGAACTCTCAGACAAGCTGTAACATAACGTTGCACCCCGAAAAGCATTTGTTAGATCTGACAAGGCTGAAGATACACTTTCCCCACAACCCGAAGAACTTATCCAGTAGCCAATGTGGTGAAGTCGTTGTCAGCTGCACTCTACCTGCACTCCACCTGCACTCCAGCTTTCGCCACATCACAAGTCATACGAGCGTCATATTCGTTGCACTGCAGACATGTTTCTTGAAGAGTCGCATTGCAAGAGTGGCTGAGAGAAATATATTAATGCCACGGAGAAACATGACCGAAATTCAAGTGCTGAAGTGAATTGCGTCACCTTCACGGCCCGAATGATGGTCTGACTAACCGCCCACCTTTGAACTCGTACCGCAACCCTCTCTATTGTCTATATATCAATTATCCATTTTGACCAAAGAGTGCCTTATAGTGGTGTGGTCATAATCGATTGTGCTGGAGGCAAGACGAATGGAAATACGCGACAAGCTGTCACATCTTCTCTTCCCCCATATCTCTGCCATGAAGAATCTCATCAATCCTTCCCATGTCCTTCACCATTCCACTTCCACTTCCACTGCTACTCAACCCATCAGATCTTGCGTCTGAGCCCGAATCAGTACATCCACCACAGGCGCAGTCAAAACCGTAGATTCGCTTGAGATACGTCTTTTTGTGTCCATAATCGACTGTGACCTCCTCACCAGCTAGTAGCTTGAAGCGGTTCCAGAATACAATCTTCCCAATGCTTTCCTTCCACGTATACTTGGAGTTCGGGACACATGAATGATTGATCCTCGAAGCAGTTTCGAACAGACCAGTGGCAAGGTCATTCTTGATTGCGTAACCATTGCTGTACACGATACTTCTGCTAAGCGATTCATTCTTGTTTCGGGAATAGCTGTAAAGCGAGAAAAATATCTTCTTCTTCTCGGGAGATAAAGCATTAACCGTGGTATCGAGAGGGTCAACACGAGCGCCATCATCTTGAAGAGTAATAAGAGGGCTCTCGCACAGGAGGATGGTTCGTGGAGGTATGTCGCACAGAGCAAACACACCGAGGCCTTTCTCCTCGGAATCACGGATTTCAACGAGGGTTCCAAGGGTGTCAGGGTCTCTTACTGCTGCCGGAAAGACAGTTGCGTCTGTTCGTAAGGGGGTCGGGGGGGAAGAAACATGATGTTCGAAGCAAGAGGGCGCCGGGTTCAGCGACATTGCCAGTGCATTCGCGAGCGCGTCGGCTTTGGGTCTGGTTGGAGTGGTCGGCTCGGAGACTTGGGTGGACTTCATGGTTGGGGTTTTGACTGATCCACCAGGGGGTGGATTGCCGGGACTTGGTGGTGACTATTGCACAATAACTATCAGCAAGTGGTCTTTAACTGCGAAAACGTGACATGGGACATGAGAGACGAGAGACGAGAGACGATAGGTGAAATGATTCTGGCACAAACAAACACAATGTTGCGTCCAGTTTCCTACGGGGACCGATCGTCGCATGTCGGCCTAGTTACCTTGGCACAATGGATTCAGGCCCCATTTGCCATATTGAACTCACCATGTACATTCACACACGGCTTTTGGTCTACTGCGCCAGTTGAAGTATTGGTGTAAGGTATTCACAACAGAAGTAGTAGTGAAGGTGGGAGATAATGGTCGGATTCAAGTCAGCTTACCTACCATGTAGTGCAGGTCTCATGCTAGTCATGAGCGGTGAAAAAGATATGCTTCCTCGTCTTACTCACCATGTGAACACTCCTTGGCGAGCCGAAGGGAATTCTTGAAGGAATCTTGGGTATTACGTCTGGCTCGCAGTAGATTGCATCTTGAACTTGACTTATACAAAATATAATTGTTTTGGCCGGTTTGGCGATTTTGGCGAGCAATTCTGCCTACGCAAGGCCCAAAGTCAAACGAAGAAATGTTGTCTAACCTAACACACGCTCCACGCTCGCAAAGACCAACATACCTGGGATCCTCGTTTGCTTGGTCAGCCAGCCTTGAACCTCTCCTTAACTTCAAGAATAGCAGCGCGCTTAGAGGACTCGTAGATATATGTTCAATAGGACGAGACGTAGAGAGTAATAGAGTACGAGAGGGAAAGAAGAACGGGTTCGGGTGCAAACACCCAAAGAGGTAAAATTTGAAATGTACATTTTTCATTGCACTCATAGGAAATTAGGCAAAGACTTACGCACAGCATAGGGTACTACCTCAGAGCTGTGCTACTTAAGCTCTCGGATCTCCTCACACAAGTCGTTGGGCTTAAACCTGGAGATTTGGGTAGCATAGTAAGAGGCGTCCAAGTCCTGACAATTCAGCGAGTAAATTTTCGTGGATAGAGGTCCTTGACCTTACTCTCCAGGCTACACACACTTGAAATGCAGCACAAGCCTGGTTAGACAATTGACGACTGACAACGGGAAAGTACGTGTCCTCAAGCTGCCGTCAAAGACTCATTGTACGAAACAAATAACATAACAGTCCGCGGTATTGAAAATTGGAGTGAGAACACCAGCCACGCATTCGGTATGGTCTTAATACTATCAAGGTATGTCAGCGGTAGCAAATCAGTCAGAAGTATTCGAAGAGGACAGTGCAAGTAAATCAACAATAATATGTGATCGTTACAAATAAGCCAAAATTGACAAGCAAAGAAACGAACAAAAGAAGGAGAGACAGCTTGCCAACCTGGTTACGTGATATCGGTACGGGCATTTCTGTTCTTTTCAATCATTTTCAAACTGTTCGCCATAGATCCATCAATGCTGATGCTGGTCCCTAGTCATTATAACCTGTCTCCACCAGGTGGGGAGCTGCCTTGCTATCGTGGTCAAGGCATTCTCCCCTGAACTTCCAGCCAGATTGGCGATTCCATATGGCACACAGTCCTAACTTACACAACATACTATTCAGGCGGGAGTAATATGTCAAATATAACTTTCCGGAACACCGCCCGCCCAATGACCCTTTAACTCCATGCTGTGCTTTGCTCTTCCATATATTTATACAATCGTCATCGATGCCGGTCCTTACTCAACTGCCCCTCGTCGCTCTTCGGGAATCCACCTACCCTTTCGGCCTTCCTCACAACCTCCCTCCCTTTATCTCCTTCTCGATCCGCCTGTGGTAAACCCCACCACTCCCGGTGGAACTTCTCCTGCTCCTGCTTCCTTGCCTCCTTTGCCTCTCTGTCTTTCTGTCTCTTCAACCGTAGTCCGAACCATTCTTCTCGCGCGGCGTCTTGTTCGCTTTGTGTGGCATGGGCTACCATGCATGTATTCATGGCTCGATTCTGGGCTCTGCATTTGAATGGGGCAGTGAATGTTCGTCCTAATGCACAATCCGCAAATACTATTTTGATATACATTTAGCATCCAAGATCGCATCATATCAAGGAGCTAGCGGCCACGCACATTTGATCTCTGCCGCGCAGTACCCTCGCACCCGTGCATGGTATAATTCTCGAACTTGGGCCTCTTGTCCGGAGGATAATGGGAGAGGGTTCCGTGAAGGCATGGGCAATCGAGGCACTTCCTCTTCTTGCTGCTGAAGAGGCGCCATCGCTGCCACTTAATGCAGCGGACTGCGAAGATGTTAGGACGTGCCTAGTTGAAATGTCTCCAAATCGGATGTTTTCGAGGTAAAGTTTAAGGCTCCGCTGGATGGTGTTTGGAGGCGCTAGTTCACACGTGATTTCTAAACAATCTCCAAACCGCTCAATGTCATGTTGACACAGCAGAATCTTCTACGATGACCTATAGTGGTATGTCACCGTTAGAACCATATCAGATAATTTTTATAATGAAGAGGACAACAGAGTGTCCAGCCTTGCCCATATGAACTTCTCGAGCAAAGTTCCTCCAAATCAGGTTTAGCCTGGCCGGCTCGGATTTTTGAAGTTCCACGAGGCTGATAAAGTTCGAAGCTCACTTTTCTTCAAAGGCTCGAATTCAAGACAACCCACATCAATCACCCGAATAAACAAAACTACAACTATCACAAGAGCTCTACCATTAAACACCCGCACTATGTCTTCCATGCGAAATGCTGTCCAGCGGCGGAATCATAAAGAGAGAGGCCAACCAGAAGAGCGACAGAAATGGGGACTGCTGGAGAAGCACAAAGTATACTAACTATTCAGAGCCCGGAGACACAGTACTAACAAGCCTTCAGGATTACTCCGCACGTGCACGAGACTTCAACGACAAGAAGAAGAAGCTCAAGGCCCTGAAGCAAAAGGTCCTCGACAAAAATCCAGATGAATTCTACTTTGGCATGATGTCTCGCAAGGGACCAGCGACCACAGGGAAAAGTCGAACGGGAACCATCAATGGCGATAGAGGGAACGAGGCGCTAAATCAGGAGGCTGTGCGGCTATTCAAGACGCAAGACCTAGGTTATGTTAGGACCATGCGGAACAAGGCGCTAAAGGAGGTCGATGAGTTGGAGAGGATGGCTTTAGGAATTAAGGGTGCTGGGAGGAAAGTCATTTTCGTGGATGATGAAGACGAGCAGTGGCAGAAGGTGGAGAGTGCAGATCAAGATTTGGAACATTTCGATGAGGACTATGAGGTCGAGGACTCTGAGTCTGACGACATCGAGGCCAAGAACTTCAGGAAAATGCAGCAGAAGGAAACGGATAAGTTAGAGACTCGTTTGAACATGGCGCGCGAACGTTTGGATGTTCTTACCAAGACGGAACAGGCACTGGAATTACAGCGAGCGAGGATGGCAAAGTCACCGACCGTGGGAGGAGTCACGAAAAAAGGAGGTAAGTTTAAGGTGCGACAACGCAAGAGATAAATGGTACTGAATTGAAACATGTCCAAAGTTGCATGCTTAATATATGCGACGAATTGTGCGCTTCCAACGCTGGGAACCTCTTCCCAGATCGCCCAGCAACAAAGCATTATACCATGGAATAGATATGTGCATATCCTTCTTGCCTGTCCATTTGACCTTTCCTGAACGCCATTCGAACCTAATCATATAGATGATTTCTTACTCCTTGTCAGACACCTGCAGATGAAGATTGTTATCTTGGCTATGGCCTTGAAAAACATTGTTACAGCCCACGCCAAGCACTTAATCATCATCCAGATCAAACCCAAAAAACCCGGAACCTTCTCTTCTTTTCGCTTCTTCTTTTCATCCTTCACACTATTCTGGCTTTCAAGATCCAGTTCGAACTCTTCCATTGTAAGTTCCTTTTTACTCTTTTTCTCCTTCCCTTTCCCCTTCCCTTTGATCGTCCACGAAGAAGATTGTCGGTCTGGTGACATGGGCGACAGAGGTGCAATTGAAGGAGGGGCGTCAAATCTCTCGACATTCCTCGTCTTCTCCTCAGTAACAGCCACCAGCATGATAGCGCAAATTGCAACATCGACGACGTAAAAGCAATCAATTCGAGCGGCCACAGCCGTATCAATTTCCAGGTATCCGGAGCCAGAACCATCACGAACTAAGCGAACAATGTTATGTGGCAGCTCAGCGTGCTCGAGAATGTACTCTTTTCTTGACCAAGCGGGAGATGAGTGTATGGAGACGACGAATGGTGTTGGGATCGCTGGGTGTACAAGGTAGTATTTCCCACTGTCATGGTCCCAAACCAGACGTCCGCATTCGCGTTCAGCGGCCGCGATAACTTGATCAGCATCTGCACGATTCGATTTATTGGCCAATTCAATAACCATGTCTGAAGCAGCCCGAGGGTACAGAAGGGCTACCAGGCCATCATTTGGTGGTAATCGCCGGGCGGTCTCCTCAAGCGTTGTACTCATGACTTCTGCTCCGGGATTTGGCTTGGATGATGAACCGAGTTTGGGCGAGCCAGTGCCTTTAAGGAGTCTATTTGGGTCGTGCCGCAGCATGGTCATATGTGCCGACGTAGAGGTGGGGATGAGACGAAGGGTGTAGAAAGGTTGTGTCGCTGATGAGAGAGTATGGACTGGTTCTTCCTTGTCGCTGGTCATTTTCAAGCAGAATCGGCGGCCTTCCGACGATGAAACTCTCCAGCCGTTCACGACCTTCCAAAACTCCTTCAGCTCGTCATTGGTGGAAGCCTCAAGTACAAAATCATCTGACAGTCCCTTGGGAAATCGACCTGGTGCTATGCCAATTGGCATTGGACTTTGCAAACCTGCAGTGCTTCTCTCGCTGATGCTAGGGGAATACGGTCTTCGGTTGATTACCGTATGTTGGATGTGCGTAGGACTTGTTTGTGTTGGGAAGTACGCTTGGTGTTCCAAAGCAATCTGAGGATTATATCTCGGAAATAGAGATTGCATGACAGCAGGCTCGCCCCTCTGGAGAGACCCATTTGCTGTGCCCTTGGCATTGGAGCTATTCGACGAGTTGCTGTTACTACGGGCGAGAGTAGGAGCTTGTGAAAAGGATGTATGTGTTCGGGGAATGTCAGGACCGAAGTGTGCTAGTGGAGGGGTGGTGATGGGCGAAGCATGGTCGAAATGAGGAGCCTGCCTTCCATTCGGGTTCTGAAGGGTCTGACGGTCTCCCGAAGCTGACTGTCGGCCATCAAGAGCCGGTTGCTGTTCATCAGCTCCAAAGGCCGGAGATTCTGGTCTCTCAATGGAGGATTCGGGTGACTGAGGGATAACAGCATGTCGACGGACACTCGGTTTCCTCGATGGAGTCGTCTTCTCCTTTGTTGGGGGAGGGAACAATTTCAATCCCATATTTACCGGCTTGTCAGGCATGTTGAATATGGTGGGCAGGTATTGCAGACACTATCTCGAGCCCTCAAGCACGGTACAAGCAGGTAGCTGAGATGCAAAGTGACCAGCTGTACGTCTAAAGCCATGGTAGTTGGACTAGGAGGCATCCTCAACCTGTATATTATACAGTTTCCCATCTCTGCTTGATTGCTGCACAACTCCCAGCTGATAATAGTAAGCGCCTATGGTCCCGATTTCGACATGTGCGTCTGATTGCGATAAAGCGGGAAGATCTGGAAATAGATTTGGTTCAGCGAGTCACGATGTTGGGACCCTGGCCAAAACCCATGTCAGCGGCAGCATGCAGCGCGATGTTGTGTGATGGGAGTCCTTATTGGACCGCCGCGGCCTTTCCGTTTTTCGCGTTACAGGCTCCACGCCTGCGAGGAAGCGCTGCTGACTGAGTGGCTGGAACTGCTGTCATGTGACTTAGACTGTCAAGTTGCTCTCGAGTATTGTACCACAAACGTAAGGTATCTACCTCAGATCGATACAGATACCATATCAGATCGGATCATGCATGTACCGTACCGAACCTCCAGACGCGTCGCGCATCCTGCAAGAGAGTTAGCCTTAGCAAGCGGATCGCCCTGACCAGAAGCCGCAAGTCCGGGACCTCCTACTGTACCTTACCTTAGATACTTGGGTACCTTGGGTATCATCAGATGTGACTGGGCTTGGAGAGTTTTCTTTGGATGGCAAGGTCTTTATTCCTCGTGTCAGGAGATGTTCGCAATCAGGGCAGGTTGCCTGGAATTCGCATGCTCATGCTTTGCCACCTACCTAGCCTAGACTCCATTACCTACCTATATGGATAGATTGTCCGCGCTTGGCCTCGCCGCGCACTTCACAACGTGCCGCACTCTCAACTTAAACAACGTAGTTATGCCAATGTCCCTTCATCAGCCAGAAGCCTGTCCTTCCCCTTTCAAGCGTCCCAATTGTCGGTGAACGGTCAAAAGTGGAGTTTTCAAGACTGCCAGCACGAAACGTGGAAACAGTTTGCTGCAACATGGCCGAATTATCCAGTCAGACCCTGGCTTCAAGGATTCGTACAGTTCAGGTATTGTTGTCAAACTGGGGTGGACAGGACCTGCTCTTAATATCACGTTGGCCTTGTTGCTGTTTGCTACGGCGCCGTGCTGTGTCCGGGGGTTTGAACTTTCCCAGCTTAGTCACGACTAAATTTCGCACCATTTCGTTTGTATTCTGCTTGCAGCATTCTGAAAGTCATACAATAATTCATGAGGAGTAGGCCATTATCACTTGCTCGGAGTGGCCTTGACAGGTCTAGGACCACCGGGCATGTTCCAAGTGTTCTCCGGGGCATCTGCCTCGTCTCTAACCCAGCCCTCATTCTCATAGCTTGTTGCCCTATAGGTAGGTAACGATTTCTTCTAGTGCACGACGAAGCTCACTCTCTTTGCTAGTCTGGACTACCTGTCTCGCTTGTCATGTGTTAGGAACGTCTGTACAAGCGACAAATCTAATTTTATCGCTGCTCACAAACTTCACTGTCGTTGCCTTGTTATATACTGCTCTTTGCACATTTAGGTAATATATCAGACACTTCCTTAGAGCACCTGCTTATGCCTACAGTAATGTCCCGTTCAATTCAAGTTGTTACGAGGACTGTCCGCAAAGTGTACCTCGAATCACTTTTACCTTCATCGTCTATCTATGCCGAGTCTGTGTCGCTGCAGCCTCAATATACTATTTGCAAGGACCAAATTCCCTTGTTCTTTGGCTCCCATGCCTTATTTTAAGCTCCCTATACCGGCTTGTGAAGAGATTCAAGGGTTGCGGACAGTTCGTTAGGGCTCTGTCAGTCACATTCGTACTTCACCCTACATGGATTTGTAGCGGTGCGAAAGTTGAAAGGAGGGAAGATCTGATTCTTCTCGGGCTCTTCACAGCATTTTGGATCATATACATCGATACACTTTACAACGCCATGGTAAGCAAGCATAATCTCCGCTTCCAGTTTGACCAACCTAAACTAGCACAGGATAGCACTCATTCCGCACTAGCGCACACCCACTACCTCTCTCCCTCCCCAGCCACCTATCTTGTACTCACTCTCCTCTCACTGCTCCAACTCAGCACGCTCTCCCTCTACAGCTATCGAAGTAAGAAATCGCCTCATTTCTGGATCCTGGGTGTTGGTATCTGGTTGGTCAAAAATGTGTGGCCCATCTCTGATCTGAGAAATGTCGATTGATTGTTGAATGAGATGAGTGGAAGGGTGGCAGTTGAGCGGAATATTTTGCTCGGGTTATGGCTTTGTGGGGCGGAAATCTGCGAGCTTTGGGTTGGGGGCGGGCTAGTCTTTTGAGAGTAGCTGGAAAGAATGCGCAAAACAGATACAAAAAGCTATAAGAATCCTGAGATCCTTTCCTTCGTCTTGTGCAAATTGCTACGTGCTATTCTGCAACTTCAAAAATAGCATTTGTCACAAAATACCTCGGGGCATTCAGCAGAGAGTGTCTTATCTACCTATCTAAAAACACACCTCGGCGTTTGAATTGAGCAACATCAATACGGAGAGTGCACCTGGCGATTCACTGTGGGCAACCTTGATGGCCACTTAACTTTCAAGACAATGGTCTATCTTATCTTCCCTACCTGGTAGGTACCTCTTATGTTATCTTATCGTCATGTGAGGCTGACAAAGGAGGCGTCTTCCGGTCTTCCATTCCATATTGTTGTCGCGCATCGCAGGGCCACCCTACCTAACTACAGAATTCAACCGGAGTGCACCCAGGGGAATCTGCCCTGGTAATTGGTTAATTACCTACAGCAAGGTAGGCGAGCTAAAATACCTTCTTTACTTTGGTACCCTTCGTAAATTACTAAGGTTAGTACGGTAATTTACCTACAGTAGCAGGCTAGCAGGGTTACGTTATCTCAGTAAATCAGACGCCTCGCTTGCTCTCTACGTGGACACCTTAACCTAACCTTATTAGGAAGGAGGTCTATACGTCTACAGTTGCGAGCTACGAAGCGTCTAAGGGAAAATAGTACTAATTTATATAATCGCGCGGCTAAATCGAAGTTAAGGATTTAGAATATTAATAATTATTTAATAAATACTAATTAGAATACCTTTATATATACTATAGGACTTTAGTAATCTATTTTTCTATCTAATAGTAGTATTTATATTAAGTACTAATTATTCCTTTAGAGAGAAGTATACCTACTAAAGCTAAGGTATTACTGTAAAGGTAGTGGTAACTACTTCTTTACTATACCCGATTAAGAAGAGTCTAGAGCTCAGTAAAGCTTAGTAAGACTCGGTAGAGCTCGGTTAACTCTGAAGGGGTTTACCGATAGTTACTCACTTAGTTATACGCAAAGGGAAATAGCTCTATAGTACTATAGGAGTTTACGTCAAGTTTTACGTCAAGTGTAATTAGGCCTAATCGGGAATAGCCCGGGGAATTTGTCTATATAGGCTCGAGCGCTCTCCACGGAATCGAGGGCTCCTCAGCTTGATATTCGCGCTAATAGAGAGGTTATCACCTGATCCGTGGTTATTTCGCTCACGTGCTAGCTAACGCTAAACCGTGCTATTACAATTACTAGTATTCGCGTAGTAGACTAAAAATCGCACTGGAATCAACTCTAGTATTTTAGAACTATAACCTTAATTAATAAGCTATAAATTATTCCTTAATAAGATAAGTAGGTAGAATAATTCTATATTTATAGAATAAAAATCTGTTAAGTATATATCTAATAATTAAGAGATAAGTAATATTTTAAGGAATTAAGCTAGAAATTATCCGGAACTGACTTTAGTATTTTAGAATTATAATTTTAATTAATAAGCTATAAGTTATTTCTTAATAAGATAAGTAGTTAGAATAATTCTATATGTATAAAATAAAAATCTATTAAATATATATCTAATAATTAAAGAATAAGTAATATTTCTTTAAATCTTATAAAGAATACTTAAAAAGTTTAAAATAACTACTAATCTAAAGTACTTAAAAAATACTATAAAAGATAAAGAATTAGAAGAGCTTTTAAATAAGCTTTTAGTTATTAGAATCTTATTTATATAAGATATTAAAGTATTAATTCTAGTATTACCTTTAAAAAGTAGGATTTCTTTACTAAAGTAGCCGCGCGAGCTACTAAAGGAATACTATTTTCTCTCAGACCCTCCGGTGAAACTTAGTGCCTAACCCCCTTCTAGGCCTCCTGATTAGCTCGGTAAAGGGGGTAGGCAGCAAGTATCACCAAGGAGGGGCTGATTTATGAGATAAGGGTTACGCAGGGATCTTGCGGACGGAAAGGCAGCCACGTGCCATCACACCTCCAGAGTGGCGGAGAGGGAGGCGGAGGCGGAGTGGGGTGGAGTGGAGCGCATCGTTTACCTAGCTAGGTAGCTATACTTAACTTAGGTTAGCCTCGCCTAGCCTCAAAGCTTGATAGCTGCAGGAACTTCCAAGTTCCCCAGGTCCATTGTTCAGTAGTTGGGTAATTGGCGCCGACAGGTAGGGACTTCAGGATCTCGTAGAACCAATAAGGTGAGGTGAGGTATGGATGTTCATGCCCAGGACATTTCGTTCTTCATTACAGTACAATAATTTACATGGCTGTAAAATCAAAAGCAAATTACCTCTGGAAAGTAGGTGAAAGTAACGAGTACGTTACTTTCCATTGTTGGGCCACTTCAGGTAAGCACGGCTTATCCGACTATCAAATACCTGAAATAAATTTAGTGCATACCTACTGTACAATACGTACATAGGATTGAATAGAATTCACGCTACGGACTCTCGGCGTCTGGGCCATTCACGTTTCCCTCCCATTCCCTGGTGAGCCTTGCCGTCTCCTCTTCATAAGGTAATTTACATAGAGTAGATTATTGACATACAAACATACATACTTTTTTCCCTTGCTCGCGTACCTAAGGTAAGGTGCCTATGACGTGCCCCGCCAGCATTTCGCACCCAGCGCGGCCACCTCACTTCCCTTCCCTGGCTCTTCCATTTCACTTCACTTCATTTCATTTTTTCACTTCGCTTCATTGGGGTTGCTTCGACCGCAATCTCCGATTCTCGTCTCGTAAATTACGGAGGACCCGACCAGAAACCGCCTACCTAGGTAAATTTACCTACCTACCTGCCGGCCTGCTACCTACCTACCCACCCTGCCCCACCAGGTTACCTACCTACCTCGCCTACCTAGGTACTTATGTTCTGGCGTACTACTTAATAATCATTACCTGCCCCCTCTCATACACCTCCATCGTCTTCGACATAATTGTAGCGCTCCGCTTCCTTCACTTCTCTTCCCTTCCCTTCCCTGCCCTGCCCTGCCCTGCCCTGTTGCTTGTCCAGTTCCCTCGTTCGTGAGGTGGTTGTCCTGTCCAGGCATCAAGATGCTCGGATTGCACACCCTCCTCCTTGGCCTTGCTGCCCAGCTTGTATCTGCCTATCCGCAGACCAAAGATGCAAAGCTTGGGGCTGTTGCATCGGAGAGCTCAATCTGCACGCAGATTGGGATTGACATCCTCAAGAGTGGCGGTAATGCCGCTGATGCTGTAAGTCGCCTCTCAATCACCTGTTGACCAACCGACCAATTTGACCTTTCCAGATTGTGGCAATGCAATTCTGCGTCGGTGTCACTGGAATGTACCACTCGGGTCTAGGTGGAGGGGGTTTTGCGGTTGTTCGGTCCAAGAAGGGAAAGTACGAATTCGTGGACTTCAGAGAGATGGCTCCCGCCGCCGCCTTCGAGACAATGTACTCGCCTCCTCTTTCGAATGCCAATTACTCGCTCTACGGTGGTCTCGCAAGCGGTGTGCCCGGCGAGGTTCGAGGACTTGAATACATCCACAAGAAGTATGGATGCTTGCCTTGGAAGAAGGTTGTCATGCCCGCCGTCAAGGTTGCTCGATACGGATTCAACGTGACCGAGGATTTGGTTCGCTACATGGGATCAAGTACATTCATGGTTACCGACCCAACATGGGCGATCGATTTTGCGCCAAATGGAACCAGACTGGGCCTCGGCGACAAGATGACTAGAAAGCGCTATGCTAATGCTCTCGAGTGTATTGCAAACGAAGGCCCGAATGCGTACTATCATGGTTGGATCGCTGCTTCGACCATCAAGGCATTGCAAGCTTCCAATGGGACAATGACCCTCTCGGATTTGGCAAAATATACTGTGCAGATCAGACCAACTTCTAACATTACGTATAGAGGCTTCAAGGTGGGTTTTCTTCATTATCTTCCCCGCCGTGGATGTCGACCTGCTTTACTAGGAATGTCCGAATGTCCCAAAGTGGTCAGAAGCTTTTCGGACTAGTAACTGTTTTACTAACATTCCTCTAAGATCAACACTGGTAGCGCGCCTTCTGGCGGAGCTGTCGTGGCCAGTATCATGAAGATCATTGAAGGTTACGACATGTCAACCCCGTCAAACCTCAACCTCTCGGTCCACTATCTTGACGAGGCCTTCCGATTCGGTTACGGTCAACGGCCCTATATTGGAGACCCAACTTTCATGCCGAACATTACTTCCTACCAGAAGGCTATGTATTCCGAGGCTACCGCCGCTAAGGTCAGAAGCCTCATCCAACCAGATCGAACCTTGAATGTCACCGCGTACAATCCATCAGGATATCAGATCTTAACAGATGACGGAACATCTGCAACTGTTTCTTCGGATAAGAGCGGTCTGACCATCGCCATGACTTCAACGATCAACACAATCTTTGGTAGCAGAGTTATGATTCCAGAAACCGGAATTATCATGAATAATGAAATGAATGGTAAAAAACTCCTCATTGTCCTATTTTACCAAGCTAACAGCTCGTAGACTTCAGTCTTCCAAACACCACGAACGCCTTTGGATTTATTCCCACCGAAGCCAACTTCATCAAACCATTCAAGCGACCACTTTCCTCAATCTCCCCAACCATCGTCGAACGAGCTGATGGGAGCGTATATATCTCGCATGCCTCTGCCGGCGGATCTCGCATCATCACCGAAGTAGTTCAGCATCTCTGGCACACCCTCGACCAAAACATGACCTCTGCCCAAGCCCTTGCCGAACCTCGTATGCACGATCAACTCTTACCAAACACCGTTTCGTTTGAGTATGGAAGCGAGTTCCAGGGTATCAAGGGTTACAACAACCAGACTACTGCGTTCTTGGCGAGTCTCGGAGCGAGCATCAGCTTCGTTGCACCGGGAAGTACGACTGCACAAGGTTTACGGGTTTTAAAGAACGGTACTTTCGAGGCAGCTGGTGAGCCTAGACAGTTGAATAGTGCTGGATATGCTATTTAAGCTTTTCGGCATCTTTGTGGGAATTAGATCTCATGAAAAATGGAGCCTTTAATCATCCAGTCCGGTCCACCAGATCGCCGATGTTTGTTGAACATGAAACATTAAGCGAGACTAGCGACAAAACAAAACAAAACAAACACACGTGAATGGGCTTCATTCATGGATTTCGGAAATATGGAATTGCCTGCGGTCTCAACTTTGTTAATACTGAAAAAGTCATCTATTACTCCTCGAACGCCTATTGCTCCCTGTCAGATCTCCCACAGTATTAGCCTACTACATCATAACTTCGCCCCCACATCGTGTGGCCACTCTACCCTCTACTCCTTCCCATCATTCTCTAACGCTGTCCATTCTCTTGACGGCTCCATTTGTCTTCCCCCCTCCTCTACTCCGCCAATCCCTCCCCAATCCACATTACCGCCCTCTCTACACGATGAGCTGTCGCTGCCATGGGCAGCAAGTGCCCTGTTCTCTCCACAGTTTCAACATCGACCCTTCTCTCCATACCCCTCTTTTCAAACATCGCATATTCAACGGAACCAGTGGAATGAAAATAGGCAGATGATTCTGGCTAGTTCAATATTTAGAAAGGCTTAGCTGCTTCTTTCTGGTGTCACGACATAATTGGATGCCTATTTGAGAATACGATGTTCACGCATTGTTCCTATCCAGACCGCAACATTTCCAAGCGTCCACAAAGTCATAATGTCTGGTTGGAGATGTAGCAATTTGATGGACATCATGTTAATAATCTGGAAGCCTGCGCTTACAGGTGATTTTGCATCAAACCCGCTTTCCATTTTCTCTCAACGTCTCACTTGTAAGGCTGATCTGTGAATGGAAGGAGATCCCCATGTGACAAAGCCTATCAAATCAGTAATGCGCTGAAACCATAGCATTATCACACACTAAGGTTTATTATGAATATAAACCCAGCGATCCTACCCATTATCATTCAATCCAACCTCCTCGACTTAACTACAACAGGATCATGCCGGCTCCAGAAAGAACAGCAACAAGTGTGAAACCGATTGCGACGTATTTGCCCATACCCAAGCTTGCACTGAATACCATTCCAGTCGCCTCACTCTTCTTGCTGGTCGAGGTAGCTGAACCAGATCCGGATCCACTTGGAATAGTTGCGCCTCCGGATGTAGCTGCGGCAATGATGCTTGAACAACTGCTCGCGGCACCTGCAGCCTTGACAACCTGGGCTGCCCCATCGAAATCGCAGGCGGTGGAAGCCTTGTTCTGTTGTTGATAATAAGTATCGAATGCATTAGAGAGCTTCTCTGATGGGCTGCACATGGAGTAGGCCCCATATTGTCCAGAGGTGGTATTAGTCAGAATTCCTGTACAGGCTTTACCGTCATTGTAACCACAAACTAGTCCAAAAAGATCACCCAATTGCGTGTCATTGACGTTCTTGGTGTTGACCGTACAGGTAAGGGAGGCCATCATACAGTCACAAACAGATTGGTTTGGAGTAGGTGGAAGACCGGTTGCCGCAACGGCCCAGGTTGAAGCGACGGCTGGGCAAGATTGACCAGCTGTGTTGGTTGGATTGTAGCTTGCGGAGTTGACACCAGTAGGCGTGGCAGCATTAAGTTGTGAGGAGAATGGAGCGTAGTCGGCGAGAGTGCTGATAGAAGATCCGTCCACCGATGCAAGTCCATAATCATTCTCTTCTTGGAAGAATTCGTAGACAATTCCACCTGAGAAGACCTCAGTCATGTTGGAGCCATAAATAGCTGGTATCTCGGTGAACTTGCGACCAGCTGCTCCACCACCCTGGGTGTTACAACCATACTCAGCGAAGAAAGATGGGACAGAGTATTCCGAGAACTCGGCAACGCGATCCTTGTATCCAGAAGTAACGTAGTCTGAATTTCCGCACCATTCGTATATATTGTATCCCCAAAAGTCAATTTGATCTTCAGTAGGTCCGCAGTTGAAGTAGGCGGCAACATTGGCACGGACTGATGGTAAATCGTCAGCCGCATATCCAACGCCCATTGCATGATATCCCTTGGACTTGATGTATGCCTTTGTATCACGGACTGCGGCTTTGACAAACGCGGAAGATCCTGTATATGACAAGTTGTTGGGAACCTCGTTTCCAGCAAAGAATCCAATGGTATTCGTAAAGTTGGCTAGAGAATCAACAACAGCTTTGTAGCGATTCAACAACTCGACATTCCATTCAGGATCTTGGCGATTGATAGACAAATTTGGTTCTCCCAAATCGCTGATCACATAAATTCCAGCGGCATCCAGCAATTGCATGCATTGTGTGTGGTCTTTGGTAGGATCGATGGCGTAGGTGCGAATAGTGTTTGCGCCGGCTTTTTGGAGGAGCGGAATATCTCGACGGCAGGTTGTCACATCTGCGAGAGGGTCGGTATATCCGGTCTGGAAGATCGTGTCAGCGAAATTTGAGGGGACGTGTGAGGTGTAATCTTACATTTCCATCGGTGGATCCACCACCATTCTGGCCAACACCTTGCTGATAAGCAACACCTTTGATGAAGAACTGGGTGCCATTGGTCTTATAGAAGAATTTAGAGCCCTGTACTTGTCAACCAGGAGTTTTTTTCATTTTCCCTCCGAGACGCCAGATCTTCTTCATCGGATTGACCTACTTTGATGACGACTGGGTCAAGCGCGGCAGATGCAGTGCTGAAGAGTGCTGTCGCCACTGTCAACACCGACACGAGAGGGATTACTTTGACCATGGCGGCGGGTTGTGTCTATTGGCGTGTCCGTAGAGTTGAAAGAGAGTCACGGCGCAAATGCCAGCAAATGGAGGGAAACGACAGGCCGAAGAGAAGAAGCGCTTGTGGTAGTCGCGGCGAAGCTTGGGATTGTGATTGGGATTGGGAGGGAAGGTGAGCGAGTGAGTGGTGAAATAGTATGGTAGGAAGGAGGAAGGGAAAACCAAACGGAAGGATAGGGGAGGGAAGGGACGGAATAATAATAGTGAAGAAATCTAGATCTAGATCAGATCAGATCAAGTCCACCAACACGGAAGAGGCAGGGTCGCAGGTCTCGCATCACCCTGGGTTTGGTTGGCTAAATGCGATCCAATCCAAATCCAAGTGAGGTAGGTAAGGTAAATACCCTACCGTACCTACCTACAGTAGGTACGACGGGCAGTGGCGCACTCTATCGCAGCCCAGACCGAGAGAGCTGTAGCGTGGTGGCGTGCTGACGAGAGGTGGACCAGGTGGTAACGAAGGTGGAATATTAGTGATAGCCTGGCCGTTCTGTGCCGCCAGACTGGAGGGTCGTTTATCTAGGTATTCGTGTTGAACACGACTGCACTAAGTCGGATACCTAAGGTACCTAGAAATGAATTGCCTCGATTACGTGTCCTTCCGTATTCGTAGGGTAGGTAGATTTAGGTAGAAGTAGGTAGGCCGTACTCTACTCTGACTGGAGATAAGCTAAGGTATGGTGCGTAGGTAGGTACCTAGGCACGCTAGGTAAGGTTACCTACCTTAGGTAGTCCGGCGGCGGAGTTGTTGTGGGAGCGTACTCCATACCTTCCCTAAGGTACTCAAGATACCTCCCTAGTGGGCACCTACAATGGATGTAATTTACAGCGCCTGACTACCCTACCTACTGCAGCCCCTGCTTCCAAAATCAATTCTGGAATAGGTAGGTAAAGTACCTTAGCCAGGCACCACAGCGCGTGAGCAGGTGAGTCGGTAATCCACGGTCACAGTACATCAACAAAGCAACGTATGGTAACTGATATTCATATTCATATCCAAGCCATATCCATATCCATATCCATATCCATATCCATATCCATATCCATATCCATATCCATATCCATATCCATATCCATATCCATATCCATATCCATATCCATATCCATATCCATATCCATATCCATATCCATATCCATATCCATATGCACATGAATGCCAATATCAACACCACAGACAAGACCGCCGATGACGACATGAGGGGGCTTCATAGTGGAGCGACAAGGCGATAAGAACATTTGACCCTGGAACCTCAAGGGAACCAAGGGAAGCTTCCCTGAACTCTCCACCACTCCCGTCGTGCTTGGTGCTTGAAACCCCGGATCAAGCTTTGCCTTGCCTCGCCCGTCGTCTCGGCATCCAGCCGGAAGCACCCGGCCCGGGTTGGCTGAACCCAGCCAAGAGAGTACTGTAATGGCAGGATAAGCTGAAGGGAAGTTTTTTATCCTTTGGCCCAAGCTTGTACAAGAGTCTATTTTAATGAGCACTGAATTGCCAAAGACGTTATAATTTACTTGCTGTCTGCGCCGGTTTGTGTTATTTGCTAGCAGGATTTGATGGGCAGATTTACTTGACCCAGACATCTTACTATACTCAGAACAGTCGTGACTATCTCCTGAAATCAAATGCCCCTCTTCGAACCGACTTATTACATCCAGCATACAGAGTGAGGGATCAAGGGAAGGAAAATCAAAAGCGTTTACTTCTTTCGACAGGAAGTATGAAAATAATAAATTTTCATTATGGAAATGTGTATCAAAGGGATAACAAACACCAAGAGAAGCAAAAATACAGCATCGGAGCCGCCAGCCAAGGACACAAATTCAGTACCACCGACTTCATCTCCTGACAACACCAGCCGAGGGCCCCAAAACACTACAACACGAACGCGCCTACAGAAACCACAAGCCGATACCACCGACTTCCGCACAACAAGGTTGACCTGACTGGCCAAGCCACCGAACTTCCGTAGCCTCGTCGCAGGAGTCGGAGTCAGGGACAGAGGGAAGTGATACGGAGGAGATGGAGTAAATGCTGAAGATATCCAGGGAAAACGAGGCGGGTGTGGACAAGGAAAAGGACGAGCCGAAGGACAAGCAGGGGGCAGGGGATGATAGAATACCAGAGGCTGGAGCTTGGGTTGGACTAGGAAGTGTGGTGGAGAATCGGACGCAGCAGGACGGTCTGCTTCTTTTATCGGACGATAGCAGCTAGTTCTTGGACCAGCTGTTGCTGATCTGCTTGTTGGAGAGGGGGAGGTAATTTTCTGTGGGCTGGGTGTTGAACCGGATCCTGCCGTTGCTTTTTGCTATTGCTGGACAAATTGTTGCAAGAGAAGTGGTTGGACAGTAAAGACTAATTGAACTCCCTCCCACTGGCGGATGACGTCCACAACATCGACGAGGAGTCTTTTGTTCCAGACAGCAGCGCTAAAGCAATTCTCCAAGAACTGTTTGTTCTCTACCACAGCACACGCCAGTTTTCAAAGTAACAGTTGTCGAGATCAAGTTGCAATTGGAGAAATCACTCCTAAGTACCACAGTCGGGGAAGAGTGGTTCTTGCTTGGCTGCCACTTTACCGGTTGAGTAGCAGTGAGAGTACGCATATTGGGGTGGGTGTCAGAGCGACTCCATGATTGGAGAAAGTGACATGAGAAAGAGAGACCGAATATGTCACGTACCAAGCCACTACTGCGTGAAATATCTCCAAAACCCATCTTCGCAATACCACTCAGATAGGATGGGACAACTGGACCAGCAGACGCCAGGAGATAACCTGGACTGCTCTATAAGAAGGAAGAGGGAAGCAGGAGGAGGCGAACTAAGCCATTGAAGTGGTACTCGATGAATTGGCAGCAGTGTTGCTACTTCTTCTAATAATGGTTTATTATTTATTGCTTAGGTAGAGCGACGCGGAAGTATGAATATCAAGGACGAGCTGTTGCGAAGAAAGTAGCCGGAAGATTGCTGGGATAGTTGTAGCTTCGGCAACGAAGGAACGTGGGAAAGCAGGTAAGAGCTGAGAAAGACTTAAATTGCGAGCCTTATAACCACATCTTCACTTGCCTCGAGACCTTGCTGTTCTGTTCTACTCCAATTGGGAGACGACGTGTTGATATTGCATGGGTCGAGGGGTAAACAATGGAATATATTAAACAGTGGGGCGATATTTAAGCGAGCTCCCTTTTTTCAAGTTACAACAGCTACGAGATGTAATAGTGATCAGCTAAACATCCTAACATCATCAATATTAGCGATTTCGGAGGCTAGTCCGTTGAAACTCCGTTCATGGTACTCGTGTTGTTTTCCATCTGCATTGCCTTCGCTGGTAAGGGGGATTACTTAATTAACGCCCACCGCACTGATCCCTTTGTTGCTTGCTTCGTAAACTTTTCGGGGAGTCCAGTCGAGACTGCAGGAGAATATTCTGACTACTATTCATTATCGGATGTTCACAAGATGTGTATATGCTCATCCCCATATATCTCAATTACCTGTAGATTCCCTGAAGTGTTCGAGTTGTCATTTCAATGACCTTCCACGTCATCCAGCCCAAAGGACTCCACCCGCTCCGTTGCCCCTTGCGCCATTGATCTCCCATCCTATACACGTTGAACAACGTCCCAGATTTACACCTTAGTGCAGTTTCTCTCTCAGATATACCACCGCGGCATAACCAGCACAGCAATTCGTACCCATTCCATGTCCACACCACGGACACTTTACATTCGTGCTGATAACGCCACTGACACCCAAGTCTTTATCCATAACAACATTGTCTGGCTTCACCATACATTCATAGATTTTACTGGGCATGTCATGGAAGTACTTGCATTGGCAGCAGACTACGAACATCTTGGCGATAGGATCGGGTCCGTTTGGATGGTGCGGACCAGGTGGAGAGCTGGTCTTTGGCGGTGAATGAGCACCGGGAATGCAGAGGCGTGCATTGTGAAGGTACTGCGAAGATTGAGGTGAAGTGGGGGATGACCCCTCGGATTTCGTCGTGGGAATGGGGATAGGTTGGGGCCAAACAAGCGCCTTGGCTGCTTCTTCAGGTGATTTAGAGGCGTGCTGGGGGTTCGCTGGATGTGCGAGCTTCCTCTTGCCCTTCGGGGGACGGGTGAGGGGTTGGTGTTTGAGAGCAGGTAGAAACGAGAGATCCTGCAACTCGGGGGTCGAGGTAGAGTGCGAAAGACTAGGCTTACGTTTAAGATCGCTGGTGTCTATCGGAGACGTCAATGGAAATCGAAGTACACGAGGACTTGAGTTGTTCGCGTGCGTAGTCGTGGAGTCCAAGGTTGCATTGTTCTCGGTCGGTGTTTTCAGGCGATCTTCATCCTCCATATGATTTAAATCTGCGCTTGTTCTACGCCAACTGTCGCGAGTACTGACAGTGTCCTTCAACGGCATGTGAGTTGTAGAAGTGGCATTATTTAAGCCTTGCAAAGTGCTGCCAGAAATGTTTACGGATGCATCTCCGCTGCCATTCAATTCACCCTTGAGTGAAAAATAGTCTTTCTGAGACTGAGGCCGAGACACATTTGGGGTTGTAATGTTGGAAGACTCGTCAAGAGTAGAATAATCTTCACTGGAATCGGTAGCTGACCTCGAGTGATTTGACTGACTATTGCTTCCCGTGAGAGCTTTTGGTGTAGAATTTCTCGAGCTTCTTTCAGACTCCTTTTCGAATCGTACTGGAGAGCGCGCTAGAGAGCGGGCTGGGGAACGGCTAGGAAGTTTGGGAAGCGCAAAATCTTGAATGATTCGTGGAGTTATGGACTGTGCAGCAGCACTGTCAACTTTCATTAGTGAAGAGATGTGAGGACTGGTAGCCTCCAAGGAAGCACGCTTGGATGACGGTAATTTAGGTGCAGCCGTGAAGCTGCCAATGCCTGTTGGCGGCTCCGAAGCGGCGATCGAGTGTCTGGAGAAAGCGGATTTCGCAGCACTTCTAAGGCCCTGGAAGGATGGTCCTTTCGACGAAGCTCTTTTGTGACTTAGAGCAGCACTTTCCGAAGCCTTTGTATTGAGCTCAAGGTGAAGTTGATTGAGCACGTATTCCTCGTCGAGGAAAACACCTGATGTCTTGGCATTGCTAGTTGCTGATTTACTGGTGCCTCCGACACTGCTGAAGCTGGTCGTGGCTGGGGAATCCTTTTTGGTAGGAGCCCCAATTGTACTGAAGCTGGTTGTATTTGGTACTTCACTTGAGCTGCGTGTGCGGCTTCGGGATCTGGAAAACAATGACGAAAAAGAGCCTCGCCGCGATCTGGGTTTCTTGGGGCCTGTAGCAGCATCCGAGACATCGCTCTCGTCCTTCAAAGCACTGGCCGCATTGGCCACCTCCTCCTGACGTCGATACCGAACAAAGTCAGCCCGACCGCGCGATTCTGGCGGATATGACTTTTTTGTAGGTGCAATTGGCTGGCTGGAATGAGGCTCAGGTTTCCGAGACTTTGGATCGTTCGTCGGCTGGGGGTCTGCTCTTCTAGTATTACGGTCATGAACAAGTTGATGGTCCCGTGATGGTGAGACGTTGGGAGACTGTGTATGAACCTGACCGTTCTTACATTCCACAGTACGAGATCGACAGCCATCAAAGTTTTCGCGCTGCGATGGTCGCGAGTCTTCACTGTCGGCCGGAAAATATCTCGGCGTAGGTGGATGGGATCTGTGAATCTTGCGAATGTTTCGTTCCATAATTGGGGTGTTGTCCTCCGCGGCCTTTGCAGGACTATCGAGACCACGAGCTGCAATTGTAGCTTGTGCATAGGCTGTATCCCATTGCTGCGGATTTTGGACTGAATCTTCATGTATCGAAATAGGACGAAAAGAACCCGCCATAGACATGCCGCTACTCGAGACACCAGCTCCTCGTGCGGTTGGATCACTGTCGCTATGCGAGAGTTCCTGGGCTTCAACATTCCACTCAACCTTTTTAGGCTCATCTTTGTTTTGCTGCGTTACAACAGTTTCGGTCTGCCTGAACTGCTCAAGTTTGAGCCCGCCAATGAAGCCTCCATCATTGTAAGCCCCTGGTTTCCTCGAGAAGGATTTCCTCGTTGATGGCACGTCTTCTATGGGCATATTTGAGGACGAGGAGTTCTGTGACGACTTCCAAGGAACTGCAATCGCTTGTGTAGCAGATCTTAATCCTTTCAAGCCAATATCAAGACTGCCCCTCTTCGCCTTCTCTGACACTGTCTTGTCCTCCTTTTTCACATTGCCTCTTGCCATGGTGGGCAAAGTCGGTATTGTCGGAGCGGACGCAGACCGATCCGTTGAGATAGCCATCTTGGTGAGCCTCTTATTCGGGGACGGCGCCTTGCTCAAACGATTTGGACTTTGCGTGCTTGGATTTTCGGGTTTTCGCGCCTGCTGTGTATGCGGAACCTGCCCATTTGTTGTTTCCGTATCCCTCCTCTTCTGCTCTCTTTCTTCTTCCTTTGCCTGTTTTCTTTTCTTTCCATTATAGTCTTCCCAACCAGGTGAACGGCAAATCGAGGAGGCATTTGATTCAGCATCACTCGATTCTTTCTCTTGGCGAACCACAACTCCACTAGACTTCACCACGTATTTTGTCGAGACACCATTGCTCGAAGACGTCGGAGGTGGCATAGGAAGAGTCAAAAGCGGAGCCGTCATCGCACGATCCATCGATGGCATGGGTAATAGAGGGCTCTGGCTCGAATTCGACCTCGGAGGCGGTGGGCTTCGAGGTGTACTTGTAGGTGCGGCTGGAAAGGTGGAAGAGGCTCGCATACGGTTGACCTGAAGGAGAGTGTTGTCAACTCAGACTGACTCAAGATTGGCTCGATAGGTGGCAGATTTAGGATTTCATTTTCCGACGCACCTTATTCTTCTGCTCCAGATCAAGCATTTTTTGGAATGTGTTCCTTCTGCCCAAGCCTGATTTGCTCTTTTTGTCAGTGGTAGCCATAGCGGCTACACCGTGACAGCTCGAGCTGCCTCTAATGGTGTAATACGATTTGCTTGGACCAGTGCCGTATCTGAGATAAAGTATTATACACAAATATATTGTGTAGGTGAATAATCGGCTGACTCGAAGCGGCAGGTACCGTCTTTCTCGTTGTTATATCTGACACTGCTTGGGCTGTAGGAAATGGTTTGGGATATGCCGTCACACCACGCACAAGCCCAGAAAAGAAGGGATTGATAGAGGAATAACCGCAGGTACGAACGTCAGTATTGGTTGCCCGAATGAGGCGAGCTTGTAAACGAGTGTCTGCGACTGGCGCGAAATGAAGCGGAGCGACGAGAGATGAAGAGGAACGAGAGGGAACGCAACGACGAAATCTACTTCACGGCTGATCTGGAGAACAAGAGAGATTGCGACTTGCCAAAGTAGCTAATCGGGGTAGACAGGGCAGAGCTAGGTACGGATGTATAGGTAGATAGTAAGAAAGAAGAAGAAAAACAAGACACGAAGAGCGAAAGTCTGAGGTGCTGTTGTGCACTGGCACTGGCAGTGCTCTGGCGCTGGATTGGAAGTAGGGGCGCACACGCTCGTCCACTATCTCGCGAACGGAAGCTGACCTGCTGGCAGCCCGGGACGGCTTGGCCATCCCAGGTGTCCAGATTTCCAGTTTTTAGGAGGCGCCTGCACGTCGAAGAGGGCCAAGAATTTGTTAGAGCGGCGGATCTGATCTGATTATCTGGCCAGTAGTCAAGCCAGCGACAGCAATGATGTGCAGTAGGTAGGGAAAACAGGAGCTGGAGCTTGAATACAGTACAGTAGTACCTACAGGAGGGGTGGGGAGGGCATGGCACAGCCTGGCAGCCCAGTCAGCGACCTGCACTTGCCTGAGGTGGCCAGGCCTGGCGCGCAAACGTCACTGGGACCAACAGGGATGTCCCAGATTGTGTGGCTATTTTGGGAGGGCGAGGAGGGGTACGATGTTCCAGACCTAGGTACAGTACAGTAAGGTACTACAGGTACAGTACTGTAAGTTACGGAGTCACAGTGCCCATACACTGCAGCCCTGGGACGATCGCTATACAGTAGATACTGGAAGTTAGCCTACGTAAATTTACCTACAGTAGACTCTACCTCTGTAGGGTAGGTACTGGTCCCTAACCTTTCCTCACCGTGGTTGGATCCGAGGCTGCGAGGTTGAAGGGGCCGTGCCGTACCTTTTCCCGTATGTACCATAGTCCCCTATAAGCTATTCTTCAGTTTAGCGTGATTCTTCAGTAAATAACACCGACTTACTGACTTTTACTATAGACTTTACTAAAATATAATAACTTAGAATTATAACCTTTATAACTCTATTAAATCTCTATTAATTTTCTTCGGAATTAAGTTATTTTAAAGCTCTTACTTTAAATATTTAAACTTAAGCTTATAAATTATCTAATATTATAGCTTTAAACTTATTAGCTTAGAAAGTATTAAATATTAATCGAATATTATCTTATAGAGTTAATATTAACTTACGAGCTCTTACTAAAGAGTTCGGAATAATATATAAGATAATATATAAGCGGAAATAGACTCTAGATTATTAGATATTACTTTTAGAACGTTATTATTATAACTCTTTAATTATTATTACTAATAATATAAGTAAATATATTAAGGCGTTACTTAAGAGAGAGCCGGATTTATATTAGAACGAAATTATAGTATATTTATAAAAGGCCTATGAAATTAATATATTAGTTAATTAGGTCTTTAAGGCTCTTTAAAAGCTTAATTATATTAAGAAAGTACTTAAGGTTTTTATAAGTTAAAGGAATAACGAATTAATTATAGTTTAGAGGCGAAAGATAGTGTTTTAAAAGGCCTAGGACTTATACTTTATTAACGAATTAGCTTATAATAAGCGTATAATAGATAGGCGTAGAGGATAAGCTCTTAAGGGAGCTTCTATAGAAGTTCAGAAAGTACTTAAATAGTTAATAAGATAGTTGATTCTTCTTATATACTTACTTTATAATTATTATTAGCTATTAATATACTAAGGCTTAATTATAGCTAAAATCTTTACTAAATAGTTAGAAAAGAGTATCTTACTTAAATATATAGAGCTTAGAATTAAAGTAGTAATTATAAATAATATATTAATCTATAATAACTCTTAAGTATTAGCTCTTTATATAACCTTTAGTCTTTAACTTAAATATCTCCTTTTATATTACCTCTTTTTTAACTCTATTAAAGAGAGCTTTATAGACCTAAAATCATAGATTAAGAGATATTAATACTAGAGTAAGTATACTTAAGAGGAATTTAGAGAGTTTTTAATAATAGCTATAAAGTTAATTAAAGTAAGAGTTAACGCTAAATATAGAGCTAAAAGCTACTTTCACTATTTAAGCTATTAAGGCATACTAATTAAAGAAGGTAATAAACTTGAAGTGAAAGTAGAATAAGAGTTAATTAAATAGAAATTATATAGAAACTATAGTTATAAATACTACTGAAACTTACTCCTTATATTCTTTATTATTACTCTTATCTTTACTTTTATCGAATTCATTATCTTCTTAAATAAGAGCCTATTAATTATACCACTTCTTAAATAGTTTTAATTGCTTTTAAATCGTCTTTAAAATACTACCTTTTATTCTAAGCTCTATTACCTTTAAAATCGATATATCTTTAACTATATTAATATTATATTATTATTCTACGAAGGTTTTAATAGTAAAACTAAAGTAAGAAGCTACTAAAGCTATAATTAGAGGTATAACTTAATAAAGGAACGATTTTAAAGTAAATAATACTTCCTTTACTTCTAAATTATTATTATAGAATAAACTCGATTCCTATAGATCTGCTATTAATATAAACTTACTTTTAACTCGTTCTTATAATCGAATATATAGTAATTAAAGCTTAGAGCTATGTATTTATATACTAAAGAAGCTATATTTAGCTAAGGGTAAAAGGCTAGCGAATAACTACTTAGAGGGTTACTAGCGTATAAAAACTACGTTAAAAGGAGTAGTATTAGTAGATATTAATATAGGAAAGTATTTAGAGACTAATATAGTATCTATAAGAGGTATAAGCTAATTAATATTATTCTAGAGATAACTGTAATAGTCCGGTATTTACTCGCTGTAAATACAGAAGGCTATAGTTGATCTCTGATAATTAAGAGGTAGGTATATTATATAGATAGAAAATAGTTACTAAGTATTAGAATACTATTTAAAGTTAAGTATAAAGCTCTTATCTAATAGTAGATATACTAGTTTTATATAGAACCTTCGTTCGCTTTAGATCCCTTAGGATACTAGATCCTTAGATCCTTAGATCTGTTTTCCTATAAAGGGATCTAAGGATCTAGGGATCTATCACGTGACTTATTATCTACTATAATCTAAGTAACTATTACTACTAAAGTATAAGTATATAGTAGTACTACTCGCTTACCCTATATTATTCCCTAGCTAATACTACCTTATTAATAGTACTACTCCCTTGTTAGTACTAATACCCTTATAGTACTACTAATAGTTTTATTATTATATAGGTACTAACTAAACTATAGCGCTAAGGGGTCCGTAATATTATCCCTCTCTTAGCTTAGCGTGATCCCCTACGCTTAAGTATAACCTTAAGAAACGTCGATAGTTACTAATAACTATCTTTTTTATTTATTATATCTAGTATTATAAAGAAATTAAGTATTACTTAGATAAAGAAAAAACAGAGTATCTAGCTTGTGCTTTATATTAAGTGTATTATATAACTTATAAAGCTTTATTTCTTCTACTATAGCTTTTCTTATACCTACTTCTTAGATTTATCTATTTCGAAATAATACTCTAAGTATATTCGCTTAAAGTATTATAATTATAATACCTTAGGGTATATTAAGAGGTTTACTCTTAAATAACTTATATATTAGTTTAAGATAGGAAAAACCGTGACTTCTACTCGCCCTCTAACGCCTCGCTTTAAGCTTATTAAGGATAATCTTACTTCTTAGTTCCTTACTTTCGAACCTAATACTTACTTAGTATTCTTCTTTAAGGGCCTAGCTCTTAACCTTAGGTTCCTTTTCTTCTAAGTAAACCTGGATTTCTTTAATAGAATCCCTATAGAAGCTTAAGGTAGTAGAGGTTAGATTTAAGTTCCTAAGTATTTTCTAATTATAAGTACCCTTTCTATTTAATTAGATATTTTAGTTTATTATAGAAATACTAATAATTAAGAATAACCTCTACCTTATATTTAGTATTTAGATTAATTAGTTATATTTCAGTAATAGGAGCCGGTAGTGCTTCTAGCGGTACTAGTTCAAGGAGAGATATATAAAATACTAGGTAAATATTTATTATCTTTAGTAGAGCTAGTTAATAATTAACTAGTCCCTTGACTTTAGTAATCCTGAATAGTCCTAGCTTCTTATAATCTAATTTATAACTTAGTTACTTAGTTATAATATTCCTTCTAAGTAAGTAGACTTTATCTCCTTTCTTAAGTATTAGTCTTATATTACACTTTCTATTATAGTAGATCGCAGATCTCTACGTAATAAAGAGAATATTAGCTGATAATTCTTTATAGAGCTACTTAAGCTTATCTACCTATAGTATAGCTTCCTACGTAGTTCCTTAACTAGTTATTAGTAGATTATATACTATAGGATTATACTTATAATTCGCGTAGAATAGTAATACTCTAATAGTCTCTTAATCCGCGCTATTATATATAAACTAAGTAAGTAGGAGCAGTTACACCTAGTTATCCTACTTATAGTTTATATAATACTAAAGATAAGTCTCTATTATCTAGTTAATTCGTTCTATCTATATATTAGTCTAAGGATAAAATATAGTTAATATTTTCTATTTTATTCCTAAGAGTATAATAAGAGTTTTCTAGAACTTTAAGATAAAGAGCTTATCTCTATCTAAGATAATCTTATCCGGTATTCTATAGCTTATAAAGATTATTCT